AAGATCATGTGCTAAACGTTTTTATCATTCATTATATTGCCTTGAACGACCCCATTCTTATATACGTTTTTTGGGTTCAATTGCAGTCAAAAACTCATGTGAAGCGGGCAGTGGTCTAATTTTGTCCTATATACTCTGAACTATTGCAGATATTGCGTACTATGACTTACATGAATACAAATGTGAACTATCACACATACATACACTCAAGTAGAAGTAGCCTCATTGAGAGGAAAGAGAACTGACCAAATCTTTCTGTATCCATCTGAGTATTTATGGCATGTTGAGAAGAGTTTGATAATATTCTTGACGTAGTGTCAACTTGATAGTTTCGCCAAGAAGAGTTGCAACTGTGACGATGCCGGTCGTATGATGGATAAAGGATAAGCCCAGTTTCGTGGACCGCGTCAACCAGAAGGTCGTAGTAAAGCCGAACAGTTATAGAACAACGAAGATCAGCCGTCGTCTTCGAGAGACATCGACTTGCGAATCTCTTCATGTTAAATGAAATTAGTAATATGAGATGTATTCACACAATTTCGTTTAAGGCGATGAGGCTGTTGATAAGACCGATGCGAGGTCAAAACGGCAGTCCACTTCTGTTTGGATAAGAACAACTTTTGGGAAACAAGTCTATTTGAAATTCAATAGAAACGTCAGCTCAACTCATATCATTGTGGGAAAATTCTTCTTGCTAATGTATATTTGCTATAATAATCGACTACGTTACTTATTTTTCGTATTTAAGTAGTGTCGAGGCTACTCGTAAATCAGTAATATGAGATGTATTCATCCAATTTCGTTTAAAGTGAGGAAGAATGGTAGTAGAATTTTCCCACAATGATATGAGTTGAGCTTACGTTTCCATGGTTCGACTCCCGCTGGGGTGTTGAGGTCGAAACTGCAGTCCAGCCTGGATGAGAATAACTTTTAGGAAAGCAAAGCTATGTGAAATTCAACTCATATCATTGTGGGAAAATTCTACTACCAGTCCTTCTTCACATTAAACGAAATAGGGTAAATACATCTCATATTACTGATTTACTGGTAGTCACGAAAACAATACTTAATTCGACAAATGAAATTAGCCACATTCAAGTACTTCTAAAAGCGCGGCAACTTTTCATTCTACCAATTGACCCATCAACTGCGCCTCAATAAACAGACAAACAAACAGATCGACTGAATGACGAGCCATTCGACGAGTGATTTGAGTCAGCAAGACGGTCGTGAAAACCGAAATGTGGCTGTTAAATGCGATGGCAAGACTCAAGGTGCTTCCATTTGCCTTTGGCCTGTACATTGGCCAGTCAGATCGGGTCGTCTGCTTGGCCATCAGGCCGAGGCAATAAATAATGCAGACTCCGCGGAAAGCATGCGTGCCATTCTCGTGGAGACCAGACGGTCTGATCGTGCCCGACAAATGGTACCAGAAAAGGGCAATCACAGAGATGAGGCCAGACCAATCGAGATGTCTGCCTCCAACCCCTTTGAGTCCGTCTCTTAACCTGCATCAGCACTCACACACACAAACACACACACAATCATCATCATCATCATCATCATCATCATCATTCTCATTGCTAGCAGCAGCCTCACTTTGTATCCGCTAGCCCGTAGACGTGTATGTTTGTGTACATATGCCCCCACGTGTTTATGTATGCGTGTGTGCACATTTGTGCCTAGGAAATGGGGTATTATTTACTTGTTAAGTGCACTAATTTGTAAACACATTCCGCTAAACTCACGACCTCCAAGGCTTGGTTGGGGTGGGTCGATGATGTAACGACTGTTGTGCACATGCACAGACAACAAATGCAAATATTTCATGCGTCTTGCTTGTGGAATCGACCAGACTTTTAGCCTCGCTGGCTTGGGGTCAACTGCAAGCAGAAGCACAAACACACAGTCGAAAGCAAAAGTCATGGCCGAAGCAGCTCCTCGGCCACTTCAACAGTTTCTCCTGCAAATGTCGCCTCTTTCGTCTGCGCTTTGTCCCTCCCCCTCCTGCACGCAGTCGAAACAAAGCATGCATGCATTATACATGGCGACCAGCCGACCGATGCACATGCAATAGTGTTAATGTGCTCATTTTCAAGTGAACGCACCACTTTGGGAAAAATTAGGATTCTGTAAGATTCCCATTCGCACACCCAACCAGTTACCCGCAGAGGCAAATGGAACCATTGGGTTTTTCCCATTGCCATTCGTCGAGATATCGTGACCACTTAAGCATGAAAGGTATAGAGAAAACAGAGATTTAGCATTTTGTTTAAAAGTAGGCTTTAGATACTTCCATTAAATCTTGAATATGGATTATCTTCAACAGTTAACCATTATTTGCTATAATAAGACATATTATGCAATAATGTAATGTGTCATACCATTACTAATGTACCTGTAAATGGTAGTATTCCATACCACATAATGCTATACGATGGTTTGGTGTAACATTACATTATGCGTAGATATGAATATTTTTCGTGTATAAGTAGGATTTCGAGACTACCAGTAAATCCTCTATATGAGTTTTATTAACATTAGTTCGTTTAAGGTGAGTAGACCTGACGTTGCCGTTGAATTTCACATAGCCTTGATTTTCCAAAAGTTGCTCCCATCCAGGGTGGGCTAGGAATTAGCAACACTCATAGCAGAGGTCGAACTGTTATAGTGCAGCATGTGAGTTTGACATGAGTACTGGAATGTTGTGGTCTCTATTTTCATCGCTCCCTAATTGTGGAAGTATAACATTTATCTGATCTCGTTTTCGCAACTTGGTCGTGTTGTCAGGGCAACAGTTAGATGCAACTGTAATTATCATAAAACTTGGTGCATTACCAGCAGTTTCATCAGCATTGTAGTCGATGTTGTCAGTCATTCTTGCCAGTCTCCGCACCGAGCTACAACTAGTCGTTAACTTTTATTAGAAAGATAAATGAATTTTGCTCTTCCAGATGATGTAAACCATTCGCTTATTGAATAATTTGGCTCATCTCACAGATTGCCAGACGAGATAAAGAATCGTATTGAGTTGGAAGTGATTACTCATTTTTGCCCAAATAATCAGGCCAAGGCAATCTTGTATTCTAAGTAGGATTATGGGGAATTGTTGTAGGAAAAGACCGACAAAGGTGGAACGGTGGTAGTCATGGCTAGGTCAAATTAAATAGAAAAAATTCTAGTTTAATTAAATTATACCATCACGTATAGACCTTTAATGAGAGGTCCGACGGAAAGACTCAAGACTGGGCTAAAGGATGCCCTTAAAGTATGCGTAAGTGATGGTGAAATGGAGAAGTGGAAAATGAATTCACTA